ATTAAACCTCAATTAATAATTAAAATTAGAAAAATTCTTTACAAGTTATCTGGTTTGTAAAAACAGAATAAAATATAAATTCAAATAATAAATTTTATCTGAGCTGATTTATTACGAATTCATTAAATTTACTTTGTTTTTTTGCTAATTTATATACTATTAAATTTGTATATAATTTGATGACAGTGGCCGTTTTACTATGAAACGAGACTAACAGAAATATACACATGCTAAATTTATAAAAAGTAGAGATTTAATGAAACTATATTAAGATTAATATTTTATTAGTTCTTTTTGAATTGTCACTTTACATTATTTTCGGTTGTTTACACATTATGTTTATATGATTTAACTATTTTACTATTAAATTTTATATAATAGTTGGAAAATACTTATAATACACTATAATTATAATCATATTACCAAACATGTTATCTGTCATGTTTTATAGGTTAAAAATTAACATGGTTTTAACTAAGTCATATAATAGCATTTTTCCGTTGGCCATACTAAATATGATATCTGTCATCATTTGACATATGACATCTATCATCATTTGACATATGACATCTGTCACATTGTATATGTTACAAATTTACATTATTTTAAGTAATAACAAATTCAGTTTAATTTCATTTTTTTAAATAAAACATATAATTTATTTATTAATTTATGTATAATTATATTTTGATAAATATTTTCATTAAAACATCAAAAATTAATATCACAACATAAAACCTGAATTAATACTTGAGATTATCAAAATTATTTACAAATTATCTGCTTTCTAAAAGCAGAATAAAATTTAAATAATAAGTGTCATCTAAACTAACTAAATTCGTAGCTAATTTATTACACATTATTTTTGCTAATTTGTATATTATTAAGTTAGTACATAATCTTGATGATGAATGAAGAAAAAAAATGATAGTGGCTGTAAAATATAATAAATTTGTTTAAAATCTCAAATTTTATTGTTTGGTTGTGCTCTTAATCGAAATAAGCACGTTCTTTGCATCATTGCTCTGCAGAATAGCCTAATTTTAGTGTCAGGTACATAGCATGAACAGGAAAAGCACGTTTCATCGCTAATGCTCAATATTGTTATCAATTATGAACGTTCTTCTGAATAAATGAATGAACGAAATTTCCGCAAAGTTGATTTACCGAATTCTTTTAAATAGGCAATGGTCAATGGTCATTTTGAAAAATAACTAATATATACGTGATTTAACCTAAATATTAAGTCACACATCCCATCCATTCAATTGCAAATATTTTGTAATATATTTTCAGTTCTATATTATGCATTAGTTAAGAGGTTTTACTCTGAAATATCCATCAACTCGAAGTACAGCAATTCCTCATATAGTGCGGATTCGATCATTCCGGATTGAAAATTTCAAAACAGTCCGGGATATTGGCGGAACAGATTAATCTTATTGTAATGTTTACTTTACTTTATGACTTTATACTTAAAAAGAACTAAATTAATATTTCTAACACACTTATTGCAAAAATGTTATTGATTTTCTTAAGAAAATTAACAAGATATTTTCTAAGAAAGTATAGAAAAAATATGATTTATTAATTAAATGTTTACATAATTAGATAGAAAAATTGATATTATAGTATATTAACTCAAATTTATGAAAACAATTAATGATATTTTTAAATCAACAAGAAAATGTTGATTGATATATTGTAGAGCTAGTGAATTTACGTAATACCATTTTAATGATAGATCGTAAATAAACTTAGATCTATTGCAAACAACGTTGTCTGCACTTCAACGATATTGACACACATACTTGAACATAATTGTACAATTATTATAAATTAAATATAACAGACAAATGTTTATAGAGACTTTAAATATCTAGTAATAATATTCAACCCTATAATTTATAATTAATCAAAATAATTTAATATACTATTGCATGAAATTATTTGTTTAAAGTGATTTTCAATGAATAATTTATTATTTACACATTTTATTGTCACAAATTTCCACCAAAAAAAAGTTTACCTTAATATTATTTAAAATAAATTTTTCTTAATGTTTTCAACTAGAAACCTTATCAATTTACAAAATATCTGTATTTCTTATAAAATATGTTCACTAAATAACCATTGACTTTTATACTCTCTAAATCAGTGGTTTCCAAACATGATGTTACTACGCCTCCCTTAAAAATATTTAATCATTTGGCCGCTACATTTCATAAAATAGATAAAACTTTATCAAAACGCTGTTCTAAATGAAAAATATAATGTATACATCAAAAAAAAACCAGTACAATGTGATTTGTGTAATTGTTAAATTTATATTTGTCAATATGATTCACTATATATTTTGGGAAATAATAATATGTGAATTGTGTATTTACAATTTTCAACTTTGAAGAAACTTGAAACCTGCGTGTCGCAGCGTTAAATGCGTCAACTGCGTGAAAGTATATAATTGGTCTCATTGAATTCAATAAACTGCTAATTTTAATATCCGTGAAGAACATAATTTGTTCGGTAATGTCGTTTTAAAGAGAAACGAGACTAACAGAAATATAAACATGCAAAAATTTATAAAAAGAAGAGATTTAGCCAAATTGAATTTAATTACAATAAATTTGCATTTATTAATAAATAAAAGATAAAGATGAAATTATATTAAGATTAGTATTTTATTAGTTTTTTATTAATTGTCAAGTTACATGATTTTGGTTTGCTTATAATTTATATATAATTGAATTATTATATTATATATAATAGTTCGAAAATATTTATATTATCTGTCATTATCTGTCATGTTTTATAGGATAAAAATTAAGTTGGTTTTAAATACGTCAAATCTGGAAATAATATTATTAATTCCATTGGTTATACTAAATTTGACATCTGTCATCATTTGACATATGACAGCTGTCAAATTGTATAGGTTACATTTTTTTTTATATAAAAACAATAAGAGGAAACTACAGTTTTATTTATAATTTCGTTTCTATTAAAGTTGTATAAATATTAGGAAAATATTAACAATATATAAATGAAATTTAAAAAAATAGTTAAATTTAATTAACTTTACTTAGTTTTTATTTACTGGACGGAAACGAGAATAATATACAAAAATATACATATTACACTAGAAATAAGTATTTTGTTGTAATTTAATTAAATTTTCTATAATTACAATTAATTTGCATTTTTACTGTACAGTAAATACACAGTTTTTAGTTGAAATCTACATGTATTTTGGTTGCTACAAAAGTGTGAATTCATTGTGAATCATGTGTTATTAAATTACAGAAGCATGTTTACATTTAACTATCAATGTGTTTATTTATGCAAGTTCTTATAATAGATTCCAACGTTTAACCAATTTCAAGTTCAATACACAACAGTAGAAATTTGTAATAATTCGTGCCTTAATATCAACGAATTATCTATTATTGGTTAATATAATCGGTTTATCGTGTTTTTCAATATACAGTTATTCCCCGACTTACGGACTAGTTCCAAAGGGTTGTTAGTAATCGAATTTTTTCGTAAGTCAGGGGAATTTTAAAAATTTCAAATTATCTAACCAACTTTATCATTGTTTTTACTTTTATATATATTCGATACTTACTAATAGTTTTTTTACGTAGATCATCACAATTATTTAATAAAAACGACAAAAGAAACGAATGCAATAAAACAGTGAGTACATCTTCCAAAAATATTATATTTTATTAAAGAAATTATCAATTTTTGTTTGGACAGAATTTTGTTCGTAAGTCCGAGATTTCGTATGTCGAGAGATACCTCTATGTATTAAGTGTATATTTAAGAAATTATTAAAACATATGTAATATTTTTATTACGAAAAATTCTTTGCGTTTTACGAAAGTTAACTTAAGTCAGATAAGGCGAAAAGTACGAACAAATTGTTTTTATAATTACTTCTAAACTGTCCGCATTTCATTATACTAAAATTTGCAGAACGCAGTAAACACTTTTTGCTGCGCTGATATGATATGCCCGTGTTATGCAGTTATACATTTCCTTTTGTCACACAAACCATAACTCACATATGTATATATTATTTATTACGTAACGAAATTTGACTCGTCCACAATACGATTAGATGCGATTTCAGTAGCATATTTACAATATTTCAACAGCTATACGTTTATTTATAGAGGCGATAAGTGATGTAATTTTAAGCTTAAAAAAAATCAAGTCAAGTTCAACAATTATACATCCGTTATAATATGTATTTGCACCGTTCATCGGAGAAATTCATATTTAAATCCATGAATTTTCTTCAAATCTTCAAAGTTTACATTAAGAACTGCGATGTTAATAACAATTTCAATTAATTAAAATGTTTATGTCAAACGAAATGTCAAAATCAAAACAATGTCGATGTCGAAATAAAAAAAATGTTGATGTTAAATAAAATGTCAAAATCAAAAGAATCTTGATGAAATTACAAACTCGGAAGAATGTTGATGTTAAATAAAATACAAAGTGTGAAAATAAACATTTGTATGAAAACTTGAACAGAGTAAAAATACATTCACCAATTATATATACGTATATGTTTATTTATACGTCCATATGACTTTTCATATGTTGATATGCACGAAATGCAAATTATCTAGAAAAAAAATCATTAGTTTTCAATTATCTGCATTAATCGGTCTTAAAATATTTGCCTTTTCCGATAAGACGTGATAATTCATATCTTTTTGTTTTGGGCTAAAATGCATTATAGAAGTTTTCTCTCTGTCTGGCATTTCCTTTCGAAGTAGATGGTTGTGAAGAGGTAAAACACTTGAAGCGTTGAAACGCGAAACGCAGATTGCCGGTCGTTACAAAAATACCTTATAAACAAATTCAGATTAGTGAGGATTGAGTTTCGTTTCGGTATCTTCTTGCACTTTTAGCTTTTTCTTTTATTTTTTTTTTGTTCTCCATTGGAAAAGTTCCCACGCAACTAACAAATTCTTTAATTTCAGATCTTCAGCGGCGAGGTTTTTTTTTTTAAATAAATGCTCGTAACGATCCTGCCTCAACATGGATATCACGAAGGAACAAAACAATCCAAATCCCATGGAGAAAGCCAATCCATTATCAGTATTATTTTTTGGGTAAGTTTATAGTTTAATAACAATTTAGTCAAAGGTAATTAGTAATTAAAGTTATTATTTAATGACAATTTTCATTATTATTCAAAAGGAAACGCCTTTTTTTAAGATTTTAATGGAATTTTATACAATTTGAGTTGAGTTTATAAAAAAAATAAAAATTTATATTAATGACAATACGTACCGAATTAATTCCATATTTTTAACATATTTTGCATTTTAAAAGAAATTATTTAATAAAGTCAAAGTTAAATATTTTCCCAAAAAGTATATGAATTAAATCTAAAAATTATCAAAATAAAATAAATTTGTACTCGAAAAGTATATACAAATGATGAAAAAACAACAAGATTCAAGGAAAACAACTATTGAATTTCAACAACGTCCGAAATTTAACATTAAGAAGAAATGTTTTTTAATTTAAATTATTAATAATATTTTAAATTATGTAAATGTTGAAATTATTTTTAAATTATTAAATTAATTTAAAAACGATCAAATAATGTTAATGTCAAATGAACTATCAAAAACATGATGATGTCAAACAAAATGTCAAAATAAAATGAATGATGATGTCAAACAAAATGTCAAAATTATATTATATTATTTCAATAACTTGATAGATCCAAAAAGTAAGTAAATAAAATTCACATATTTCGTTAAATCCTTTATTTAAGAAGACACATAAATTGGCAACATGGCACAACATCACTGAAATATACATTTGTTGCAGAATAAAAATACATATTAAAAAAAAATATGCGATAAAAGATCACAGCTATTTTTAAAACGGTTTTCTCCACTTGGAATTATTCATTTTCATAGCGCTTTTCTTGCAAGCCTCCAAAGCCTTCATTAATCTTGCTAGTTTGATGTTCTTCTGCAATGCCTCCTTCGGTGTAGCTTTCAAAATTGTCACCCCTGCGATCCTCGCTTCTTCCTGATCCAGTTTTTCCTTGATGATATTAAGCAACTTGCGGATATCGCGTTCCTGCTTATCCAAAGACTTTTGAACATGATACTTCAATCTTTCATTCATCTTGTCTCGTCAATTTTCGCGCACTAACTTCACTAGGATTTTGCTTCACTCAAAGTTCAGAACAGAATGATTTCGGTGAATCCCAATATTTGTGTATTTTGGGAGGGATGGAAAAAGAAAGGCCAACGTTTTACTATAATTTTAAATTGATGAAAAATTAAATTTCATTGATAAAAATTGTTGTTAAAAATACTATTTTTTTTTAATATTTCATGACTTTTCTTGTAATTTTGCTTTAAAATACACTTTGAGTTCAGTTTAGTTTCTTGAATTTTAAATTTTTACCTGTTTAAAACATTTTACGTGTAATATTATATTAACAATATTTAGAATTTAGAATTTAGAAAATATTTTTTTGCGTTAATGAAAGGAAATATTCATTCAAAATGACCATACGAAATTAATTATTTAAAAAAAACAAACAAGATAAAAACTTAATTGAAGCTAAAACCAACAGACGAGGCGTTATGGAGTGTGAGGACTTTTCTTCTGAGTAATGGAGTATTGGTCGCAGCAAAAGAAATCTGTGAATGAATGAAGATGAATGCGAATGGAAAAAACAACACTGATAACAATACACAAAATGATATGGGTTTTGAATGCGAATCAATATTAAATACAACTCATATACAAATTCTAAAAAAAAAACACACATCCAAAACTAAAAGGAATGAGCGAGAGTCAAACTGCAAAAAGAAGAAACAGAAAAATAACGAGTTAATTCAATCATTAACAACAGCTTCTAATAATTAAGCAACGAAAACTACAAATTTAAAGAAGTGGTGACATTATTAATATACAAATTTGACAGCTAAAGATGGATACTATCGTAGGAAAAAATAAACTTATTCTGTCAAAAACACCTGAAAAAAACACTGCTTTTTGCAGAGACCAAATGAAATAGTTAATGTCAAATAAACTGTCAAAATCAAAATATTGTGAATTTCAAACAAAATGTCAAAATGAAAAGAATGATGATGTTAAACAAAATGTCAAAATGAAAAGAATGATGATGTCAAACAAAATGTCAAAATGAAAAGAATGATGATGTCAAACAAAATCACAAAATCAAAAGAATAATGACTTCAAACAAAATGTAAAAATTATATTAATGGGATTATGATATTTTTAGTTTCAATAACTTGATAGATCCAAAAAGTAAGTAAATAAAATGCACATATTTCGTTAAATCCTTTATTTAAGAAGACACACAAATTGGCAACTTGACACAAAATTACTGAAATATACTTTCGTTGCACAATAAAAGTACATATTCAAAAAAAATACGTGATAAAAGATCACAGCTATTTTTATCATATTTGAAACGGTTTTCTTCACTTTGAATTATTCCTTTCCATACTGCTTTTCTTCATAGCCCCCAAAAGTTTCTTGAATCTTGCTCTATTCATGTTCCTCTGCAATGCCTCCTCTGGTGTATCTTCTAAAATTATTTCCCTTGCGATCCTCGCTTCTTCCTGATCCAGTTTTTCCTTGATGATGTCAAGCAACTTACGGATATCGTGTTCCTGCTTATGCAAAGACTTTAGAATGAAATACTTCAATCTACCGTTCATCATGTCAATTTACGCGCACTAACTTCACTAGGATATTGCTTCACTCAATGTTCAGCACAAAATGATTTTTGAAACCCCAATATTTGTGTATTTTGGGAGGGATGAAAAAAGGAAGGGCCGAAAACCAGATTTTACTTTTCGAGGAAATGGTGTTCACTGTTCTGTTATGGTCTAAAAATAATTCTTGAATTTCTACTTAAAGCATATTTAAAAATGTAATTGTTTTACTATAATTTTAAATTGATGGAAATTTCAATTTCATTAATAAAAATTGTTGATAAAAATACTACATTTTTGATATTTTTTTTGACTTTTCATTCATGAATTTTATAGGAATTTTGCTTTAAAATACACTTTTACTTCAGGTAGAAAATATTTTTCACCCTAAATCACATTTTCTTTAAATTCAAACTTTTACCTGCTGAAAAACGTTTTACGTGTAATATTATATTAACGATGTTTAGAGTTTTGAAAATATTTGTTTGCGTTAATGAAAGGAAATATTCATTCAAAATGACCATACGAAATTAATTATTAAAAAAAAAAACAAGATAATTAAGTTTTTATGCTAAAACCACGTGACTAGGTGTTAATTCAACCATTGTTACCATTCACAACTGATTCTAAGAATTAAGCAACGAAATCTACAAATTTAAAGAAGTGGTGACATTATTAATATACAAATTTGACAGCTGAAGATGGATACAATCGTATGAAAAAATAAACTTATTCTGTCAAAAACACCTGAAAATTATAGCACAATAAAAAAACACGCCTTTTTGCAGTGACCAAATGAAATAGTACAGAAGTTAACCCAAAGTCAGGTAAAATCCCCGAGGAAGTAACATAGCTACTAACAGTTGTTGCTCCAAAGTATTCGACTAATTTTGCCTCAGGACAACGTAATTCCTGATTATCAATTTTGATTCCGTAGACATTACGCCACTAACCATTGTGCAACCAGCAACGTGTATAAACCTTTTTCTGCGTTATCCAACATATTTGGTTGTAGTTGTACTGCGACTCAATTGTTTATAACATAATTTTTGTCATCTGTCATTTTGACAACTGTCATTTTATGATCCATTATTGGAACCCCTGCTCTGGAAGACAATAATTATTATATAAGAGCTTTTTTTGATACCAGATTAGTATATAAAATCAAACGTATGATACCACACACAGTTTATAACTTATAAAAATTAAGATTAAGAAAAATTCAATTCAGAAATTATTTCAATCACTGCTGATAAGAAATTTTTAAATAAAACTTAAATATTTGCAAAATTTATTCAAGAATTCTTCGAAATAAACGTTGCAAAACTTTAGAAAGTAAAAACTTAAAGTTCATTGACAAAACTATATATTTATGGCGAAATTTATATGATTAAATTTTTATCCAATTGAAAAATATGTTGTGGACCAAATGCATATGTAATGTTTGCACGACAACAATTTATACGTTCGCATTCTGTCGTACGTAGTTCTATAAATCTCGTATAAGCAATGCAGCAATACATTATTGATTAAATGCGATATAAGTATAAATTAATTCATTGAATTTTTAAAAGTATAGATAAAAATTAAAGTTTCGAATTGATAATTTGAGTAAATTTATGATAACTATTGAATCTACTTTTTTTATTAAGAAAATAATGCAAATATTAAACTAGAAAAAGTTATTTATAAGATTTTATTGAGAAATTTTCTTGAAACATTTCATATGGAAAACGTGCAGTTTTCGGTGTCAATGAACGTGCTGTGTTTGTATATTTCGTGAAAGAAAATTAGCGATTTGGTTATATTTAACTTTATGTGTTTCGAGAGGAGTTGGTTTGTCTTTAAGGAGAAACCAATTAAACGAGAAAACATTGGTTTTATTGAGGTTTACAAGTTCACGTTCTCCCAAACGATAATACCAGAAGATTTCCAGAAAGCAAACAGTCCAGAAATGTTGTTTTGCATTTACTCTAGTGTGAGGTTTACTAAAATATTTGATAGAAATACTTGAATTGCAATAATATTCTAGTAAAAATAATGTAAAAAAAAGCAAAATAATTACTTACAAGAAAATGATTAAAAAATAACGAAAATTCTTGAATTGGAACGATATTTCAGTTATAATAAATGAACTTATTTATATAGAAAATATTGTAAAAGCGTTTTAATAAATTGGTAAAAAAAACATATTAAATATTGATATAATTACTTAAAAACATTAGTAATAGAAAGATTGAAATACGAAATATTTTATAAATGAAAAAATACAAAAGTTAATCAACGTTTGTAGAGGAAAACACTTGAATTGGAATGATATTCCATTAATAATCAGTGGAATTAGCAATATAGAAAATATTGTGAAATCGTTTTAATACACTTTAAACATATTA